ATACCACCTGCCTACTGGATTGTAAGCCCTTTGAGGGCAGGAACTACTTATCTTATACTATTTGGTATTTTCAGTGTTTAATGCATATCCTAAATATGATTATACTGCTTAATAATTCATTGCTTATGATTCTTTAGCTACTAGTTTAACAGATAGAACTCCACAGAATTTCTACTAAAAATGCTACCTGAAGTTTTCTTCCTGTAATTGTTCCAGTTGTAAATGTGCATGAAAATACTTTTTTGCAACCATTGTATTTGGATCATCAAAAGATCCATCCAATTGGTCAAGTTTTTCATTCATCATCTCATTCTCAGAAACTAGTGAATTCTTTTCATCTTGTAGTGCAGTCACCTAAAAAACAGACAAACATAAGCAACAATAGCAGAAAAGCTTAGATTAGAGCCCACAGTCCTGCATTCTAATTCTGACTAAGCCATTAAACAGCTTGGTCAATCAGACTAGATAATTTAGAAAAATCTAGAAATTTTTAGAAAAATTTAGAAAAATTTAGAAAAATTCTGGTTCTAGGAGGTTTTCGGTCAAACAAAAGAAGTTAACTTGATCAATACAGTGAAAACAGTTAATACATATAAAGAGAACATCTTCAAAGTGTTATTATGTTTGCCTTAGCTCTGGGAAGAAAGTGTTTCTAGACTCTAAAATTTGATGTACCGATTAATCTCAGAAAATTAATTTATTCCCCTTCAGGAATAAATTTATTTTTAGGAGGCTGTTACCTACTAAGCCAAAACACACACACATATGCACAAAGTTATTGTTTTAGGCTCATAGTGGGGAATTACCACTTACACATCATGTCAAACTAGGAAATTATTTGGTTAATGGATCACTTACAGAAAGCTGAACTGAATCCACTGGCACACTGAAACAGAAGCTTATGATTTAAAAGGGATAAAAATGCAACTTTAGAACCACATCAATATCAGTACCTGATACACTTTAAGACTGACTTACACATTTATGCAACGAGAATGATTTGTTCTCTCTGTTCTATTTCTTTTCCACTTAAAAATATCTTTAAAATATATAGCTGAGGCTGTGATATCACCTTTTTCTAATATCAGAAGTTTACATATGATTTTATTAATATTAGTTTGAATCAAAGTTGACCTATTGTGACTTCCAACATATTATTGCACAAGTTTACTATTTATATTTTCAACAGGTAATTAATTCAACCCAGTTATGTGAATGAGACCACATACTGATACACTGAGCTAATAACAGGAAATTAAAATAAAGCGTCCAGCGGTGGTTCTAGGCATCTACCTTAACATCTTCTTTAGCCCATGGTGATGTTTCCATTAGGCTCACTCTGTACCTGCCTTGGGCCCTCTCTGTTTCTCTCACTCTATTTCTGTTTTTTCTCTCTCCTGTCTTTGTCTCCCTCTGAGCTATTTAAAAAAGACAGAAAGGTTGAAAAAGCTGAAAAAAAATCAAAATAACATTTTTCACCTATCACCCATATTTTACATTTTTAATATGTTTGCTTACTTAAAATATATATATATGAACTTCTATAGCTGGAGTCCCTTTAGTACACTGTACCCGGTCCCAATGTTTCTTATGCATACTAGAATTTGAAATCACTGCCTCACAATGTAAGCTAATGTTGTGCAATGGTGGGCAGGAGTATTTTCCTTTAACATACTATTAGCAAGAATGGTCACTGCTGCTTCCATAAGTGGAGTGCTACTTACTGCCACCAGGTGCTATGAATAAGAGCTGGGAAAGGCACAATAAAGAGCAAGGGATAAGCTTGCCACACCATGCCCCAAAGCCCCGTAATAACCTTGAGTGGCAAGACTACTTCAAGAACTTCAAAACTTCACACTAAAATCTCAGGAGGGCTTTTTATTCTTTTTTTTAAAGTACGCATAATCAGCCCATCCTCCTGACTTAACTGAGTCAGAATTTCAGTTGTTCCAGAATTTATAACCATGATCTGCACAGAACCAACACAATCAGGTATTTAAATCACAGATTCAAACTTCACTGCCAGTTTTCACCATAGAATCTGTGTTCGTGCGCCTTTATTTTGAATAAAATATGTTTGCTAGCTGGACTGTGTCAACAAGCAGTTTTTTCAAGGGCTTGTAAGTTTGCATCTGAGCTCTTCATCTGGGTACAGTGCTGTTTCCCTGCCTCAGCCTTTTGTGGATATTGCTCCCCAGTATTCTGGCCTGGAGGCTGTAGGAGAGCCTGATTTTTCCTGTCTTTGTAGATGATTTATGCTTCCTACCTGAATGACTGAGTTGTTGTTTTTCTTTTATTCTTGAAGTTCAACAGCTTAACTAGGATAAGGCTTGGCGTCAAGCAATTATTCACTGATTTCTTTCTGTATACCTGCAATTACCTTTTAAACCTCATTTTGTTGTCCTACCACCTACTGTATTTTAGTGATGTGTTTTTATGACATTGTACACAACATGAAGCAAAAGTTATTTTCTAAGCTTGACTAATCTCTTTTACATGCTCCTTTTTATTTCTGTTTTTGATCTGTAATGTTTGCACACATGTCGTGTTTTTATTCCTTTTATTTAGGTCTTGCTTCACTGGCAGTCAAGATACCCTGTGTTCCAGTGTAGTGTTGAAGAATTCTTTGATACTGTCTCCCCACTGTGGCCAAGACCCAGTATGTGTTTCCCTCTAAACAGAGACTGTTTTCTCTCCACACCACTCTATAGCCTTGTGAATGGTCAGGGAAGGTTGGGGCACCAGGTGAGGCAATGATAATCTTTTTACAAGTGGGCTAAGCTTTCACTTCTGAGGTTTAAGAACTTATATCAGGGTGGTAAGAAGTGTATTCCATTCTCATGGAGAAATTTCTCTGGACCTCAGACTCCATTTTGGTGAGCTGCCCTATAGCCTTTGTTTTTCCTAAAGGAGGCAGGCCCTTAGTTTCTTCTTAGCCATTATTTCTATTCCTCCCCAAAGATAAAACAAAAAGCGAATATCCTTTCATTGGGTAAACTATAGTAAGAAGTTTCAAGATTTTTGTTAATTCCCCTGCATGGGCTGGGGATAAGGAGGCACAGCAGGAGCCAGCTATGCTGCTCCTCCATCAGCCTACTGCCTGCTTCCATCCTTGATGACAACCCTCTAACTTCATTAGGTCGTATCCTTTTTCTTGCTTATCCGCTCTTGGTAAATTACCCTGTAGCTAATTTTTCTTTTTGGTACATTTGGTTAGGTATTAAAAAAGAAATCCCCCCACACCCCATATTTTAAAATCACTTTCAAATGATACTGATTAAAAGTAAAAATGTTTCAAAAACAAATTTTCTTTATAAAATTGGGATATGTGTCATACATATATGTGTGTGAATTCCATATTGTTAAATTAATAAATTATATTGTGTTCTGATTACCTGCAAAAGTATTCATTTCATTTATGCAACAGATCGTTTATTTTAATACTAGATATTCTATTTAATACTAGAATTAAAATGCTGAACCTTGGGATGTCTGCACTTTTCAACTAAAATACGGAGATCATATTTTCCTCACTGTGTTACAAAAATTTAAATCTTTTAACTTAAGAGTTTTGTGTTCTTCACTGAGTAATAATTTCTCAGTAAACTATACAGAGATCCTTCATGAGACTGGCGATACCTGAATGAGTCAATTCTCTATACTTTAATGAGGCATTCTGGAGGGCCAATATGACCGTATTAGAAAATAACACATATTAGATGCTTTGTATGTGTGCGCATGGGTGTTACTGCGTGAGATGAATGTGGATAGGAAAGATACAGTAACAGGCAGAATTTCCCCTAGTACTGACACTGACTTTGTTCAAATACAAACATTGGCTCTGTTCAAACAGAGAGAACTGATTTTTTAAGATGAAGTGAAAAGACCTGGAATCCAGTGCTGTCCGTGCCCTATGTAGCCAACTCACCCTGACCAAGTCACTTCTCTTGCCTTACTGGCAAGCCCTTGAGGGTTAGAAATATTACCCAGGCCTATCACTATATATTTATCTCAAGCAGTAATAATGCCACCACAACCCTTGTCCTTGTCCTCAGACTTTTGAGAGAGTCAACTATTTATGAACCTCATTATTTGAACCAAAAAATGTAATTTTACATATAGTATGTAACACATTTAACCTATTTAATTTAAGACTTATTTTATAACTTTTTCATTTGCATTTTCATATAACAATAATAACAGCAATATACGCAAATGCATACATAGCACTTATCTGCAGGCCTTGCTCTAAGTGCTTAATATAAATTAACCGATTTAATCTTCAAAATACTCTGGAGAATACTAAAGTACAGAGAAATTAAGTAATTTGTCTGAGAATATACAACCAGCTATTAACATGGTCAGATCCTGAATATGGGTGGTCTGGTTTGATAATCTACTCTATTAACTGTTAATTATTATCCCTCATGTTGTTTATTTTGATAACATGTATGATGTACACATGAGCACAAGAATTACATACACATCTTCATACACATGCACATGTTAGCTAACAAACATGGTATTTGCATTTATTGAGATTCAGGCACTTCTAAATATTTCTATAAATGACCTCACTTAATTTTTATACCCTATGAAGTAGATATTATAATTATATTAAAATATAATTTCATATTTTAAATTATAGTTTTTAATTAGAAAAGAAAAAATTAAGGCTTCATCTAAATAGTTGAAATTCTACAATTAGAATTATTTTCTCAAAGAAGTAGGTAAGCCAGCAATTTTCAACTCTAAGAGAAAAATAACTATGAATGCTTGGATATTCAAGCCTATAACAAATATTTTTAATGGTCTATCCATGAAATGAAACCCAGCCTCCAAAACACTTTGCCAATTAATTCACTGAAATAACACCTTTGTAAACTTAAAGAGGAAATTTTTCTCAGATTAGGTTTCTTTTCCGCACCTGCATATCTAATTCTTGACATCTTTGCCTCAGTTCTTCTTTTTCTGCTAGTGCTTCCTGAAGTTCTTCCAAGGCCCTTTTAAGCTGAAACATAAAATGCCCTCATTCTTAGTAAATCGTGTTTTGACACAAACTGAAAACTAGATTTTTATCACAATACATATATGCACTGATAATTGGAAATGTTTTTTTAAATTTACCTATTAATAAGTCTTAATTTATTGTTTATGATTAATACATAGTCTCATTAGCATTTAAAGCTTAAGCCCTGCAAGAGCAAAACTTTATGTAAATCCTTGGGAAATATATAAGCAAAAGAGTATTAGAGGATGCACTATTTAATTTCATCATAGAAAAAATTTAGAAAGAACATGTTTTAGAAGAGAATTTATAGAAAAAAATTTAATTTGAAATACTTGAAATTACTAGTGACACTCATGAAGTACAGACATCCAAAAATTAAACAGGAAAGTACTAGATGCATTTACCTTTCCTCTTACCCTTTCCCCTACAACCCAGACTGGGGTATACATAGGAGGACAGTGCCTTTTCCTCCATGCAAAACAGTCATGTAACAGAACCAGGGAAGGAGCCTTGAGTAAAGGCCTCTGAGCTGTTTCTTCACTATCAGGAGAGATAATAGTAACTGTGATGAAAATTATATTATCTTATTAGAGAAATCAGAACTTAACAGAATTTTTAAATTGTCTATTCTTTAATTGTGTATCCATCTAAATAGTTTACATACATCAAGTGTCAGAGAGAAGTTCAATTAACATGATCAGAAAAAACTGGGTTACTACTTACATTCACGAAGAATGAATAATAACATTCAATTGAGATATTATGGCAGAACAAATGGTCTAAATTTCATTAAGGAAAATATTCTTGTATATGTTTTCCTATGTAGGCCTTATGACAATGACAGTAATTGGCAATGTTTTTAACATTTTCCTCACATACTGAAATACTCACCTGTTGCTCTAATTCTCCAACAGCATCGTTTGTAGGAGAGCTTAGTATTTCTTTACTCATCAACTAGGAAATTAAAATAGTGAAATCAAGTACAATAAAATGATGTTCACAAAGTAAAACTAGGTTTATTTGACAGTACAATAACATGATTTATATATTTTTTCCTTGCCTTAATTTGATGCTCCTTAGACTATTGTTCAAATAAAAATTTTATTAGAGGTCTAAGCTAAATAACACAATATTCAAGCAATATCTTAGTGAGGGTATAATAAGGAAAGTGTGCTGAAAAATGTAGATATATTTAAAATAATTGTGTACTGAAAAACTACAATCCAACTTCTAAAAGATGAATTACTAAAAAAAATTGGACATGTTAATAAAAAGGTATGTCTATAACATAAATTAATATTTTTAAAATGCAGCCTTTAAATGAGTGATATGGCAAAATTCCAAATTTGAGAAGTCATTTTTGAAGTAGGCATTATAATTGTATGAAAAAAGAACAGGACCCTGTCAAATAACTTTTTGCATACAAAAGGCAGATTTATTTAGGGGTAGTGATGCTTGGAATTCAAACCAGCAATGCACAATCAGCATATACCAACGGCTGAAGTCCCATATGCTGCCTCCCTCTAAATCACAGCCCTTCCAAACTGTTTGTCCTTACTAATCTCTCCCTCAGGTTTCCTTTGCACTCAACTTCATGGCAACCTTTTAGTCTAATTTTAAGAATCATCATACACCACATGAACTTTGAATCCTAGTGGTCAAATTTAGATAACTAGATTGGTTTCAATCCAGGCTACCTAGCTCCAAAACCTAAGTATCATTATATTTGCTAACAGTTCTAATATTCTGAAAATACATATGAGATATACACACACATACACACAATCAGTCTTCAAGGAAGATTGCTCTAATTGGTAAAGGGGAAAAGAAAAATTTCCGCCTAGACTAAGGTTGTTTATCCTGGTCAGCTGAAGGTATTTAAAGGAACTCGAAAATAATAATTTATCTTTTAAAATGCAGAAGTACTGAGATTCAAGATGGCAGCATAAGACGTGAGACAGAGAACTCCTCCCAAAAGCACATATAATACGAAAATATAGTTAATACAACTAATCCTAAAAGAGCAACAGGAAAGAAGGCTGTGCCAGGCTGCATACACCTGGAGAACAGAGCAGACCTCACCAAATGGTAAAGTACCAAAGCCTTGATGGGCAGAAGCCAAGCCCCTCCCCCACCCCAGCTCACCAGCAGGAGGAAGAGAAATGGAGTGGGGAGCGGGTGGAAGCCTAGGACAGCTGAAAACCCACCCAGCCCTAGAGATCTGCTTTGGGAGCACAAACCTATATTGTGTGGTGCTCTGGAGGCTGGTGGGTTTGGAAAGCTAAGAAAGGTGTAATATTTGGAGAGACTGAGATTGCAGCCATTTGTGAAGGACAGGGATCCACATCCGGCCGCTCTGGGACAAAGGAAAGGCAGGTGGTCTGAGAGGCTTCCTAGCAGTGAGAGGGCTGCTGAAGGGGTGGGGTTTGCACAGAGCTTGCTGTACGGGAAATGGGATAGGTGGACAAGGTTGTCTGGGCACACTCTGCCCAGCAGGGCGGGAACTTTCAGGAGCTTCAGGCGCTCCATGTCCTTAGGTGGCTACTTAGCTCCAAGGCCCCCCACTGTGATACACAGCCTGCTGAGCCCTCCTCCTGGCCTGCCAGCACCGGCTGGCAACCCACAGTCCCTGCCCTGGAGTCAGGCCAGCCAGCCGGAGGCCCCGCCTACAGCAGTTACAGACACAAAGCACAGAGGCTTACACCTGTGTGCTGGGCCCACTGGTTCTGACAGTGGAGACAGGCACTGTAGCCAGGATGCAGGAAACAGCTGTTTCCTCCCTCCAGGCACCAAGGCCGCTTCCCCATGACCCCTAACATCACTCCAGGGGCTGAGCAGCTCCAGACTAGAGTTTCTGGGCACTAGAGGGTGCCACATAGAAATATGAAATGTCAAAGGAAACTGGTTCAAACAGAAATCTCAGACACCAGAAAAAGGGCCAAAGAAAACTGAACTCACTAATCTTCCTGAAAGAGAGTTCAAAATGGACATCATAAACATGCGCATGGAGGTACAGAAAAATTCAAGAACTCAGGGATGAATTTAGGATGGAGATTCAATCATTAAGAAATTCCATATCTGAAAAAATTACCTTGAACTTCCTGGTTATTATCAAATATGTACATTTCATGATTTGAAAGCTTTATAGTTACAGAAAATTCTTAGTATTAGACATCCCATTTTCCAAATAATAAGAATGGATTCCCATGAGGAGGGATGGTACAGGTCAATACTGTGAGAAGCACAGAGCTGCCTGCATTTTACAACTATTAAGGGAGAAAATATACAACATCTTTGGGTTACTTTTGATTTCACAATATTCACTGTTCAAATATATGAAACAGTCATCAATTTGTGTCATTGAAGAAAAGAGAAAGAAGTGTATCATGGAAATAGCCTCAATCTCCACCTCTGCTTCTGGCCCCATATTATAATGTCACCCTAGTGACTGGGCTTTGGATTCAGCCCCCTGTCATCTCAGTTTCAGAGAAAAACCATGGAATGGAAAGTGGGGGTGGGGGTGGGAGGAATGACACCATTTTGCCTCCCATAGTACAGGACTCACAAAAAGGCTTTTACTCAGACTTGGCTCACATGCCAAATCTGGTGGATTTTCCCTAGTGGCTGTCTAGGCCCTCTCTGAAGGATGTTGAGATTGTACCTGGGCCTAAGCAGAAAGAGGGTTGGAGCCTATTAGCAACAGAGGCCAGTACTCCAAAACAAGAGGGAATCAGTTCATGTGCAGGAATTTTCCAGCTTGCAATCACTATGTTGACACCAATATAAGATTGTATATCAACTATACTTCAATAAAATTATATATCAAGAACCTCAACAAAAAAATACAGAAGTACAAAAATTGAATTTAAAGTTCTTTTAAGAGAATTTTTTAAAAAAAAGGTGGCTGGAGACACTAGATAAATGTAAGTAAACCTGTTGCAAATGGTAGGTTTTTATACAAACAGAAAGATACACATGCATAAAATTTATGTAAAAATTTATATCCTTTGGTTTAGAATTTGTATACATTGGTGAACACAATATAACTTACCTCTTGAATAGCAGTCATGACCACATGTTGCACAGATTCTTCCAGGGTCATTATAGTTTGAATATGTTCTATGATTTAAAAAAAAAATCAGGTCTGAAAAAATAATCTACTCTTCATCCATAGTACTTTAGTCATTCAATTAACAGTAAGAAAATGCATTTATCACACTAATTATTTAGGCAAATACATTATTTTTCCACAAGAGGTAGGTCCACTGAAATCAAATAAGTAGAATTGGAAATCACCATATAAATATTCTTAAGTGTTTTATTTTTCCTGAACAAGAAAGTCTTGAATTTTCTTATAAGAAAGAGAAAGAAAAAATTGCAATGAATCTTAAAACAATTACGACAATTTCTTCCCTCTTGTTAAATATTCAATATTATGGGGATGAATTTATATGCATTAAATGAACTCCTAAAATCTTAAGGCTAGGAAGTTTCATTTTGTCACCTATTCAGTTCATTTCAGGAACGCTTTCAAAAAAGGGACTTACACAGCCTCCTGTAACACCTGCTTAACATTCACCAAGTCTCACCTCAAGGACAGCCTTATGTTACCACAAACACACCTGCAGGAAATTAAGTTAGTTCTGTTCTAATAAGAAGTAAGGAACCATGGGAAAAAGTCCTTCATATATTTGCAGATTTAAATCCACTTCAACTGTTTTTCAGCTAAAATATTTTCCAGGAATTTTAAGAACTTATTTTCTAATATTTTTATTGTTTTAACAATTCTTCTGGAAAACTCCTAAAAGTTCTCTAAAGCTTTCTTTTTTTGTGAAGCCAAGAACTACAGGAAGATTCTGGTAGATGCCGGATGCACCTGACCACCAAGTGCCACGGAGTGGAGAAGGGGAAGAATTATCTGGAGAAAACACAGGCAACGGATGGTTTCCTTTACCCGGATTTTCTGGATAATGGAATGTTTCAGGTTTGCTGAAACCTTCATAAAAAAATCTCTACCCCACCAAGACAGACATGCTACTGTTAACTAAACTATTTCATTCTTTCAAGATTGAGATTATTACAGTATCTTGGAGTCATTTTGAAAATTCTCACTTAAAAGTATAAAGGTTATGAAATCTGTTTTACATTGTGAATGTGTTTTGTTTTTAGATTTTAAGTAAAATTACTAACTTTTAAAAAAATTTACCTGCTCACTGGTAAAAATTGGTAACTCATGTACCTCCAAAAATAAATCCAATTAGATAATCCTCTTCTTAATAATAACTGAAAAATTTTTTATATTTACTACTTGCTAAACTTTTATTTATGCATCCAGGAATTCAATTTCCTTTTAAAAATCTGAGGATAAAATTGCTAAGTAATGTTTACAACTTAACTATGAAAGTACCACATGTATCAAAATGCATAGTAGGCAACAAAATCATGACTTATAGGAAAATTATGGCTTAAAACGTCAATTGTAGTTTAAAGAGGAAAGGACTGATCAATTTAAAACAAAAATATTCAAAAGAAATGAGATAAAAAGTAATTAAACAGATATTAAACAGTATAAATAAAATAAAATCAAAGACAAAAGTTGGTTCTTTGAAAAAGACTATTAATACTGACAAACATGCTAAAATTAGGCAAAAAAAAAATTGTTAAAGCCAATAATTAAAATAGAAACAAAGCATTAATCAACTTAAAAAAGGATCAATAAATTGTGAGAACAATAAATTGTTCTCCAGTGAGGAACAATAAATTGCAAGATTTATAAATGAATTATTATGTGTTAACTTGGAATTAAACAGTTATGTACGTTTTAACATTCCGTGAGCAAATATTTCTTATTTTAATGAAAAACCCAACATATAGATCTTTGACATTACTTGTAAGAAATAATGACCTATGGAGAAGTACTGACTTGCCCTAGAAAAAAACAGCTAGTTAATGATCTACATGAACTAATATCAAAGTTTTCTGAAACCTTATCCCTGTCCTTTTTTATTGATAAACAATTGGTATCATGCATGTTTTTCTCCCTCCTGCATTTATTCTTATTGAATTTATCCCATATCATATGCTCTCTTTATTAGTTAGATAACACTCAATGTGTATTCTAATGTACTGGCTTAAAGTGTTTTATATTTTATAAACTTAAGCACCCAACAATCTCTTAAAGGTGATGTACTAAAGACCAAGTTTGGATGAATCATGCAAAAAACATCACCATCAAAAATCTCACACCCAAACTAGTGCAAGCCCCTAATGGAATTAAATCTTGCTCTGTTCAGTTCATTTTTTATTTACTATGTGCAATAAAAAAATGACCTTTTTGCACTAAGCAGGATATGGATCACTGTGTTTGGATATAACAATATAATATTCTACTCCATGTATAGCATCAAAATTCTTATCTGGAGGACATACTGGACAGGCAGAATATCACTTAAGAAGCCATGATTATAATTTTGTAGCTACATATTTATTTATGAAAATCTGAATCAACCTAATGTTCTATCTTACATGTGTAACAGATAATCTATCAGATGAATAAGTACAACTTTACTGAGTATCCATTAAGTCCTGAGAACTGAATATATTAAACTAATTAAACTAAAATACATTTAATTAAGCCACTGAATATCAATCTCAGAATTCAGGTACAAATAAGATCCTCAATGTTTAATGTCAGAGCTGGGCTATAATTCAGATCTTTGGGCTTAATATTTCAAGGGTGCTTTCTGCCAAGATGTAATAGTAAATTTTTATGCTTTCAATAGCAACAAGTTTTTTCTAGAAAGTTGGTATCCTCAAATGATTTAAGTTCACTTACCTTGCTTCTTTTCACAGTTGACTGCACAACCTAAAATAAGCTGGAGCAACCTCCCAAGCTCCACAGAATTGGAACATTCAGTTATTTGGTTTAAATCAGGGATAAGTTCTTCAGAAATCTGTTGTCCCAAAAACTGCAGTATTAAGACAATAAATCTGATCACTAATTTATGTAGGCTACAAAGAATTTATACACTTAATTATTCTAATAAAAATAAATTCTAAATAGGTTCATGAAGCGTCTCAGAAAAATTATGAATAAATTTATAATTATTGACTAAAATCAGCTAACAAAGTTCAAGCAATGTCCCAAAATGTTGAGTAACCAGACAAAATTAACTAAAGTAGTTTTATACCAAATATCCTTTGATCCCATTGCCAGAGGGATTGTTTAATTTGAGAATCCCCTGACTGATCTATTATGACAAAACTTGTGCCTTTCCATTAAAACATAAGCATATTTATATTAAGCCAAAGGATATATTCACATTTTGGTGTATGACTGATTCACAAGAGAACCACAATACAAATCATCACAAATTTACAAACATATAATGAATCAAATGAATTCTTTTTGTAGCTTATTAAATTTTCTTGGCATTAAACAAAAAGCTTCAAAATGAGTTTTATGCATTAATGAATTGAAAAATTTCAGTCTGAAGTTTAATTGGAAGAAATTACAAGTTCAATTCTGTGACAAATCTAAAAATTAAAAAACAAAAGTAAGGCAAAACTAAACCACAATCTCCCAAACATAACTTTCTTGAATAACATGAACTTTCTTATATCAAATAATCCTACTAAAGAATTTGGTATAATGCTGAATAAGGGGGGAAAAAAACTACCTGAATAATGTACTTATCTAAAGTGACTTTAACACTACTTCCATTTTGCATTTTTTTCCAAATTCACTTGCACAAGTGTAAGTTCACAGTATGTCTTTGCTGTTATTACACTGGGAAAAATGTCAAAATAATGCTTTGAATAGGAAATAATTTCTATTTAATTATAAAGTCTACTTGATGGCACTACATAAAATCAAATCATATAAAGATGAAGGCACTTCTATTTGAGAAAAAATATCAATTTAAATAGTATCAGTATAGAAAAACATTATTTTACAAATCAGTGTATTATGCTTGTTTATCTCCACAAAATTTGAATGTTCTAAAAATGACAAGAAACAACAGTGCATTCCATTTATAAATTATAGTCTGGTAAATGTTATAAATAAAAAGCCACATCATTTTTCAGTGTCAATAATTATCACACAGTATTTTGTACTTAAGCAAAGTCAGATGTTTTCCATACCTCATTATAGTAACTCATAATTCCTTGAAGTACTTTCTTTAAATTATTAGCCTAATGGGGAAAAAGAATAAGACTTAAATAATTTCATAACAACAATGAAAGAAATGTATGCCAAGGTGGAAGACAATAAAAACTCCCCCAATAAAAATGACAAAAACGTTAGTTTTACAGATACAAGTATATGATGTTTTTTAAACATCAAAGACATCAAAGCTTTAATCAGAGGTCGATTAAAAGAAATAATATATCCATGCTTACATAGTTTAACCAGGGTGATTCTATTTAAAGTGAGGAACATGAATTCAAATGCCAACTTTAAAGATGTAGTTACAAGCACGTCCACCTCTGATCATTAGTGAGTCTAGCCTTACTCTCCTGCCACAGACTAGAAAAAGTAACAAAATACAAGGAACAGTTGTTTACAAGTGTTAGCCAACAGGCTGTATAGAAGTCTAATATGTGAGAGAAGGAAAACAAAAGAGATGAGCCCAACGCTAGTCCAAGATTTCTCTCAGGAGGCAACTTCCATAACACTTAATAAGGTGGTAGAAACTAAACAAAGCCTGGAGAAAACAGATGTCAGAAATACAGGAAGGTCAAAGTAGTTAGAATTTAAAGGGCTGACAGATGAAGAGGTGAGAACTATGGAGAGGAAGAGCTCCGGAAATCTGCGTAGTAGTTTCTCTGACTCTCTGGCTGAATGCTAATTTGCATGTGCATGGGTGAAAACTCAACAAGATTAAACAAAAATAAGTTCTCTTTTTTTTCTCTAGTCATAAGTAATTCCAAGGAGAAAACAGTTTAGGGAACTTTTGTTGAACAATTCCCAAAGATTACACAGGGCCAGAAACTTAAAATTCCCACCAGCCAGTGAAGACTATGCTGTATAGACAAGCTTTCAGAGAAGACCCTAAAAGGTCACAGATAAGTGGTAGGTCTAACCAGCCCTGGAGGTAAAAATAACTCTAGATCTGCCTCCCCCTCCTAAAAACCTTGACAGGATCAAATTGATTCACAAGTATCTAAACTGCCTACGAGAATAAAGTCCAGCATTCTTTAAAATAATACAAAAAATCCAGCCCTCAACAATAAGACTAACACTGTCCAGACTCCAATAAAAAATATGGATCATAAGGAGGAGAAAACTCAGTCAATAAAAATAATCCAAGAAATGATGGATTAAAGAATTTGAAAATAATGTTAAACCTGCTAGTTCATAAGGACTTACATGAAAACAGTAATTTAGGCAAAGAGTACAAGAGTTTTTATTTTTTTAAAGAACCAAATAGAGAAATTATCAGTGGGTAAAAAAGGAAGACAGAATACTAGAGGAGCCAAGATGGTGGCGTGAGTAGGGCAGTGGAAATCTCCTCCAAAAACCATACACATTTTTCAAAATACAAAAAATACAACTATGCCTAAAAGAGAGACCAGAGGATACAGTACAACAGCCAGGCTACATCTACATCTGCGAGAATTCAGCATCTCACGAAGGGGATAAGATACAAGCCGTGGCCTGGTGGGACCCAAGGGCTCCCCCCACCCCAGCTCCCCAGCAGGAAGAAAGGAGTCGGAGCAGGGAGGTAGTGGAAGCACAGGACTGCTGAATAACCAGCCCTAGTAATCAGCAATGTGAGTGCAGACACACATTGCATGGTGTGCTGGATATTAGAGAAACAGAAGAGTAAAATCTGTGAGCGGTCCCCTGCAGACAGCTCCCCTGGGACAAATGAAAAGCGAGTACTTTTTGAAAGTCTTAAAGGGACAGGGGCCTCACAGTTGGCTGGAAGTGTCCCAGCACACTCAGCCCAGAAGCTGGGAATCCTGAGAACTTCAGGCACCCCAGACCCCTGGGATGCAGCGTAGCTCTGAAGCCCCTGACAGCGACAAACGGCCTACCAGTTGATCCCCCTCCAGCGTGGCACGGCTGCAGGGGCCGAGCAGCTGGGGAGTGGTTGGGTGTATGCATGCAGAGGCAGAGCAGCTGGGGAGCGGCTGCACCTGTGAGCACGCAGTGGCGAAGCATCTGGGGAGCAGCCGTGCACCTGCTCACAGCGGCAGAGCAGCTGGGGAGTGGCTGTGCCCACAGAAACTGCCCAGAATCTCCTCCCGGTGTGCAACTGCCTGGGCCACACCCAGACGCTGCCGCCAACACGCAGCTACCCGGCACAGGCAGAAGAAACCAGTGCAAGGCGTGAAGGGGCGCCGTTCTCATAGGAGAGCACACCCGGTGCACCTCCCATTCTCTGCAAGGCTCTTGGCAACACTGACGGGGACCCCACCAACGGCAGCTTAGGGGTTTAATCTGGAGGCTGCACCAGGTGTGCGGATAACCAACACAGGCAGCAGAGAAGGGCCAGGTGACCAACAAGCAGGAAAGGACTTCGTTCTCCCAACTGACACATGTGCTACCTGCCTACAGCTATCTCTATCGCCAAGAAAAGGCAGAAGAATTTGGTCCAGTCCAGACTTAACAAGACAACCCCCGAGAGAGGGCCTGGGGAGATAGATTTAACCAATCTTCCTGAAAAACTATTCAAAATAAAGGTCATAACCATGCTGATGGACCTACAGAGAAATATGCAAGAGCTAAAGGATCAAGTTGGGAGGGAGAATACAGAAATAAAACAATCTCTGGAAGGACTTAAGAGCAGATTGGATGAGGTACAAGAGGCCGTTAATGGAATAGAAATAAGAGAACAGGAACACAGAGAAATGGAGGCAGAGAGAGATAAAAGGATCTCCAGGAATGAAAGAATATTAAGGGACTCGTGTGACCAATCCAAATGGAACAATATTCGCATTATAGTAATACGAGAAGAAGAGAGAGAAAAAGGGATAGAAAGTGTCTTTGAAGAAATAATTGCTGAAAACTTCCCCAAACTAGGGGAGGAAATGGCCTCTCAGACCACAGAGGTATACAGAACTCCCATGACAAGGGATCCAAGGAGGGCAACACCAAGACACATAATAATTTAAGTGGCAAACAAAGATCAAAGACAAGGACAGAGTATTAAAGGCAGCCAGAGAGAAAAAAAGGTCACCTACAAAGGAAAACCCATCAGGCTATCATCAGACTTCTCAACAGAAACCTTACAGGCCAGAAGAGAATGGCATGATATACTTAATGAAATGAAACAGAAGGGCCTTGAACCAAGAATACTGTATCCAGCACGATTATCATTCAAATATGAATGAGGGATTAAACAATTCCCAGACAAGCAAAAGTTGAGGGATTTGCCTCCCACAAACCACGTCTACAGGGCATCTTACAGGGACTGCTCTAGATGGGAGCACTCCTAAAAAGAGCACAGAACAAAACACCCAACATATGAAAAATGAAGGAGGAGGAATAAGAAGGGAGAGAAATAAAGAATCATCAGACTGTGTTTATAATAACTTAATAAGAGAGCTAAGTTAGATGGTTAGATAGTAAAGAAGCTACCCTTGCGCCTTTGGTAACCACGTATCTAAAGCCTGCAATGGCAATCAGTACATATCTTTCAATAATCACCCTAAATGTAAATAGACTGAATGCACCGATCAAAAGACACAAAGTAATAGAATGGATAAAAAAGCAAGACCCATCTATACGCAGCTTACAAGAGACACACCTCAAACCCAAAGACATACACAGACTAAAAGTAAAGGGATGGAAAAAGATATTTCATGCAAACAACAGGGAGAAAAAAGCAGGTGTAGCAGTACTTGTATCAGACAAAATAGACTTCAAAACAAAGAAAGTAACAAGAAATAAAGAAGGACATTACAGAATGATAAAGGGGTCAGCCCAACCAGAGGATATAACCATTATAAATATATATGCACCCAGTACAGGAGCACCAATATATGTGAAAGAAAAGCTAACAGAATTAAAGGAAGAAATAGAATGCACTGCATTCATTCTAGGAGACTTCACCACACCACGCACTCCAAAGGATAGATCCACCAGACAGAAAATAAGTAAGGTCACAGAGGCACTGAACAAACAACACACTAGAACAGATGGACTTAACCGACATCTACAGAACTCTACACTCAAAAGCAGCGGGATACACATTCTTCTTAAGTGCACATGGAACATTTTCCAGAAGAGACCACATACTAGGCCACAAAAAGAGACTCAGTAAATATAAAAAGATTGAAATTCTACCAACCAACTTCTCAGACCACAAAGGCATAAAACAAGAAATAAATTTACAAAGAAAACAAAAAGGCTCACAAGCACATGGAGGCTTAACAATATGCTCCTAAATAATCAGTGGATCAATGACCAAATTAAAACAGAGATCAAGCAATATATGGAGACAAATGACCACCACAGCACAAAGCCCCAAGTTCTGTGGGACACCGCGAAGGCAGTTCTTAGAGGAAAGTACATAGCAGTCCAGGCCTATTTAAAGAAGGAAGAATAATCCCAAATGAATAGTCTAATGTCACAATTATGGAAATTGGAAAAACAAGAACAAATGAGGCCTAAAGTCAGCAGAAGAAGGGACATAATAAAGATCAAAGAAGAAATAAATAAAATTGAAAAGAATAAAATAGAAAAAAATCAATGAAACCAAGAGCTGGTTCTTTGAGAAAATAAACAAAATAGATAAGCCCCTAGCCAGACTTGTTAAGAGAAAAAGAGAGTCTACACATATCATCGGAATCAGAAATAAGAAAGGAAAAATCACGACGGACCCCACAGAAATACAAAAAATTATTAGAGACTACTATGAAAATCTATATGCTAACAAGCTAGAAAACCTAGAAGAAATGGACAACTTCCTAGAAAAATACAAACTTCCAAGGCTAACCAGGGAAGAAACAGAACCAGACCAAGTACCAGCAAAGAAATTGAACTGGTAATCAAAAAACTACCCAAGAACAAAATCCCTGGTCCAGATGGATTCACTGCTGAATTTTATCAGACATACAGAGAAGACATAATATCCATTCTCCGCAAAGTTTTCCAAAAAATAGAAGAGGAGGGAATACTCCCAACTCAATATGAAGCCAATATCACCCTAATACCAAAACTAGGCAAAGACTGTACAAAAAAAGAAAATTGCAGACCAATATACCTGATGAACATAGATGCAAAAATACTCAACAAAATATTACAAACTGAATTCAAAAATACATCAAGAGGATCATATACCATGATCAAGTGGTATTCATCCCAGGGAGGCAAGGATGGTACAACATTCGAAAATCCATCAACATCATCCACCACATCAACAAAAAGAAGGACAAAAACCACATGATCATCTCCATAGATGCTGAAAAAGCATTTGGCAAAATTCAACATCCATTCATGATAAAAACTCTCAACAAAATGGGTATATAGGGCAAGTACCTCAACATAATAAAGGCCATATATGACAAACCCACAGCCAACATCATACTTAACAGTGAGAAGCTGAAAGCATTTCCTCTAAGATCAGGAACAAGACAGGGATGCCCACTCTTCCCACTGCTATTTAACATAGTACTGGAGGTCCTGGCCATGGCAATCAGACAAAACAAAGAAATAAAAGACATCCAGATTGGTAAAGAAGAAGTCAAACTGTCACTGTTTGCAGATGACATGATACTGTACATAAAAAACCCTAAAGAATCCAC